ATTTACGCTACTGCCTTGATGTGACAGGTGAGCTTAGCCTCAAGTGGCCACTGGAGTGATACTAAACAGCTATTTAAATGTGCAGAGGTATTTGGGATAGCGTGCAAGTAACTCTTTTCTTTGGTTTTTATTTTATGTATTGGGGCTTATATGTACTATATTAATTGCTGCCACCCAGGAGTAGTGGGAGTTTGAGCACAGGACTTGTTTTTGTATATTTGTAAAACAAAGTATTTACAGGCCCTCCAATAATAGTGGCACCACTGGTCAATATGAGCAAAGAGGGCTGTAAAAATTATCTTTATTGTTTAACCTTTTGATCTTTTGCTTAACCAAAGATATTCTGCTTTATGGGATAGCAAACAACTGCAAACACAACACAAGTTTATTCCCCCCAAAATCTTTGTTAAATATATGTGTAATTAAACAAAACGAACATATATGAAAGGAAAGTGGAGATAATACGCTCCTACTCTAACTTTCATAAAAGTAAGCAACCCAAAGTAATCTAAGATATATACAATTAAAACGTAACATTTAATAGTATAACTAAAAATAATCAGAAGAAAGTGCAAAAAATTATTTGCGCCAAAGAGGGGCTCAGTGAGCGTCGAGAGTCTAAAAACAAAAACAAAATACTTAATAAGATAATATATAACACAAAAGTCTAACGAGCGTGTGGTAAGTATCGCAGCTATTTTAGGACACAGTGTAACTGCCGTGAATTTCGTAGCCACCGCAGGTACAGTGTAACTACCAAGCGTAACCAACCAAATAGGCAGTGTTTGCATTCAAATGCCTGCATACAATGATTATACTCACCAGAGCAACTACATTAAAGGGACACCGTAGGCACTGTATCCGCTTCATCTCATTAAACTGGTTGTAGTGTATGGAGTCCCCTGGTGCCATCATTTCTTTCAGCATTAAACAGTTTTTAATGTTGTAATGTTTTAATGCTAAACAAGAGACCCCGGCAGTCCATCCCGTCTGTGCTGCTTTGGCTAATAAGGAAGTATTACCCTGAGCAGCAATGGGCAGCTGTGATTGGCTGAGAGTGTCAGCTGACTGCTTTTAACCTGTCAGAGCTCCAACTGCCGGTATGAATGGGTATGACAACAAGGAAGTGTGTAATCTCTGCCTTAGCTACACATACAGAAGGGGCTGGACTGTGGGTGGCCAGGGACTCTTATTTTGTGGCATACTGCACAAACATGGTGCAACACTGAATGGAGGGACAGTGCCAGGGCACTCCAGGCACTATAACCAATTTAAAGAGACAAAGTGGTTATAGTGACTACAGTGTCCCTTTAAGCTGTAGTTGTTCTGGTGACTATAGTGTCCCTTTAAGATACATGTTTTAGATATCTTCATCCTAAGTTTGCACTACGTATGATGTTAAACATTCAGTATTACCATTGTTTAGTCTTCTTACTGGGTTCCCTTACACTGTCCCATACACTACATAGTTAACCTTGTGATAACAGTAACTCCACTTAGGTAGCCCTGTCACCTTTTGTATTCCCATTCAGTATCACATGACATAGAGTTCTGCAACACACATGAGATCTAACAATTATCCTTTTTCATCTAGCTAAAAGATACGATGCAATTTTCTTTGACCCTTCCCAAATGAGTGCCTGATAAAACAGTTATTATTCTTATTGTGCATCCACTAATGAGGTACATATTTTACAGTCATGCAGCAAGAATTCTGTAATATTGCATATGCAAGGAGCTTACATATGACATAAATGTGTTTATCTAAGTACAAAATGAAATTGGTCCTCGTTCCACTGCTAGGTCCTTGTTAAATTACCCTTTGGCATGTAGTGCTATTTATACCAGAATGACAACATGAAAGAGGGGTGAGCTATTAAATTCAATGATGCTTGAATAGCCTTTTTGTATAAACTGAGTTTATATTTGCGACCAATTGTAATTTCTTGCAGGTATTCTACTTAAAGCTCATGAACCACTTGCATATGTTATTGCTGTTTCCAGGGAGCACTATAACAGCATATTGTTGATAAATTTTAATGAGCAAACATCAACATGCAACAAGGCAAAAATAGAACAAGAAAATAGTTAAAGCACTAATTACCAGCAAGAGTCGGTAAAGAAAAATAAAAACTTAAAATAATCACATACATCTATTTCAGCAAAGGCACATTAAAGTACAATAGAAAGCATAGGTGAGTTGAGCGGCTAATGATAATAAAATAAGATGTAAATACAGTTTGACCATAGACAACAGTAATTTAAAGAACGATATTTATTCTTTTGATCAGAATAAAAAAAATGTCTGTGCTCATGAAACGGACAGTATGCAACAATAAATATATTTTTAGAGTTATTGTTATTTATCTGCAAATTTTTTTTTTGACACAAATCAGAAATATGAGATACAAAATACAATGCACTTGCAGACAGCATTATCTGTTATTTGCAGACTAGTGTCATTTGTTATTTACACACTTGACCCTGAGTACACACTTGGCTCTATTGGCTGTGAATGGATAATATTGGAAGAATTCAACCGAGAGGTCTGAACGTTCATTTAATTGTGCTCATTATAGCTCCAATAAGGAAAAAAAATATTGCCTTTTAATCATTTTAAATATATTTATAAAAGTAATTTTTTTTCATATCTGGTTACTGTTGGCTTAGCAATATCATTTATTATGTTATGAGTATGTTTGACACACTTGACAAGTTTAATACCTTCATTGATATCCTGCCGTCAGCAAGCGTAATCAATAGTTACCCAATTACCTCCCAAATTTCTATACACATATGATTTATTGTATTTTGTATTGCATGTAAAATATAAACAATACTTAAGTTACTAATGCTAATTTGACAAATGTTTTCACCTAGCATTAAAACAAATTTCTCTTCCCTTTCCCTGCTTCATGGTACGGGAGACTATGGCTCAGAATACAGCACTGTTATTATTCAAGGAGAAGAGGAAAATGTTCTAGGTAGGCACATTATTCAGGCGTCAGTGCAACCTTTCATGTCCTATACAATTAGGGACGGTGCAATTTTTTTTGGCTACACAGGCTACACAGGCAAAGATACATTTTGCCACCTCCCCTCCACACACAAAAAATGCATGTTCACCTTAATCACCCTCTTGAATTTCTTACCACATTTTGTGTTTCTTATTCTCCCTTTTGAATGTTTTAGTATATCTTATTCCCCCATTTTATTTCCTTTGTGTTTCTCTTACACCCCCCAATGTGTCGCTTACTTCCATCCTGCCCCTTTTTAGTATCCCTTTTTCCACTACCCTATCTCCTCTATGTCTCTTTATTCCCCCAAGCCCCTATGTGTGCGGATTCCCCCAGCACAGTGTTTCTTTCTCCCCACAGCCCCTCTGTGTCTCTTTGTCCTCCCCCCCATGGCCCCTCTGGGTGTATCCCCTTCAGCCCATATCTGCCTCTATTACCCCTTCCCCACACCCTGTCTGTCTCTTTTGCCCCCATTCCAGGCCCTTTGTTTCTTTCCCCCCCAGCCCCTCTACGTGTCTCTTTCTCTCCCCAGCCTTGTTTGTTTGTCTCTTTCCCCAGCACCTGGTCTCTTTTCCTCCCAGCTTATTTATATCTCTTTGTGTGTCCACCCAGCCCCTCCATGTGTTTCATTCCCCCCAGCCGCTCTATTACATGTGTCTTATTTACTCTCCCCAGCCCCTCTATTCATGTATCTCATTTCCCTGGTCCCCATGTATCTCATTCCCTGGTACCCATGTATCTCATTCCACCTGTCCCCATGTGTCTCATTCCCCCAGTCCCTCTATGTGTCTCATTACCTCTTCCCACCATGTGTCTCATTCCTCCACCCCCCGTGTGTCTCATTCCCTCCCCACCATGTGTCTCCTTCCCCCAGTCCCCCATGTGTCTTATTGCCTCCCCACCATGAATCTCATCCCCCCTCTTTGTGTCTCATTCCCCCTAGCCCCCAAGTGTCTCATTCCCCTTGCTCCCAATGTGTCTCATTCCCCAGTCCCCATGTGTCTATTGCCTCCCCACCATGAATCTCACCCCCCCTCTTTGTGTCTCATTTCCCCTGGCTCCCAAGTGTCTCATTCCCCTTGCCCCTCAATGTGTCTCATTCCCTCACCCCCACCATGTGCCTTATCCCCCTTGTTTGTCTAACCCCCTTTCTCCCTATCCCCATGTATCTCCTCACCTCACTCCTGTGTAGTGTTGGTCTGACATAAAGCAGTTTGCCTCTCCCTGCTTCAGACTGGGTAGAGGTTACTGAAGCTCCTCTCCCCTGGTCTGCTGCTCGGTCATGCTACACAGGAGTGACCGGCTTGAAGGGAGTGCTGTGCAGTGCGCTCCCCTCCTGTTGGTCAGCAGGATCTTGTGTCCCAGGGTCCTTGTGTCCTAAGGCAGGCGCTTGTGCCGCGTTATGGTAGCGCCAGCCCTATATACAATATAGATGCCTATTTCTAGGTTACTGTATGTTACTTTTTTTACAGCTACCTTTTTGTAAGTAACTGTATATAGTCATAGTGTATATATTCTACCAGCTATCTGGGAATAATACCTAAAAATGCCATCATATTTCTTAAAAAACAAATAAATATAACATATTAGACTATAATGAACACCCAAATATTAAGTAAGAAAAAAAAGAGACATTTGGAGCAAGAAAACCATGTAACTCACCTGTCATCCTTGCCTGGTGCCTCTTTGTATACAGACCTATAAAGAAAGGATTCATCCTTAGAAGGCATTGGCATTGGACCTGTTTTTAAAGGGGACTTAACCCTGAAGGGGTTGACAGGCATGTTTGCACAATTAGATATATGTCTCTTTGTGCCATCTTCCTTGTGAGTGTATATTTCTGTTTTTATTGTTTTATCCTGTGTCATTAAATGCTTCACTATATATATTTTCATTTTTTATCTCCTACATGGTCATCATGAGAAATATATGGTAATTATACTCAAGTTTGGTGATTGTGGCACCCCCATTGGTATATGTTTCTGTAGTAACCAACCTCATGCTGATGAGTTTCAATAAGAACGAAACAGCTGTCCGTGAGTAGTTCACTGGCTTTGCTCTTCATCCTGAGTTGTTTCAAAGTTGTTTAATACAGCAGACACTTTCTCCAAGGAATCCATGTATAAAGTGGAATTATAAGGCAAAAATGTGGTTCATTGTTGAGCTCATTTGTATATGCCTACCCAGAATCCCTTGTAGTAGTGAGAGCACTGTTAAAGTGAGATTTCAGTGGGAAAAGCAAGTCTTATGGCTTGACTGGTGTGTGTATTTGTGTTTAGCAATGTATTAATTATCCACTTACTTCAGGTGGAAGGGGTTTTCATCCACACTTTTGTCCCCACCACAGCTCTGTTGGTATGTACTATATATATATATATATATATATATATATATATACACACACAAAACATAATAATGTGATTGACAAGAAATACACTTATATGAAGCTAAATATATTCACAACTCAGAGAATGTGGTATAGAGTTACATAACAGTTAAAAGTGAACATTTACCAATTTAAAGGGACACTATAGTCGGCAGTGGAACTACATGTATTTCTGACCCTATAGTGTTAACACCACCATCTAGCCCCCCTGGGCCCCTCATGCCTCCATAAATATAGTAAAACTCTTACTGTATTCAAGCCAGAAGCTGCAACTATGCATGCTGTTTGCCTAAAAAAACAAACCAGTCTGCTGACATCATCAGAAGTTGTAGCCTTATCCAATCACAATGCTTCCCCATAGGATTGGCTGGGACTGACAAAGAGGCAGATCAGGGGGAGAGCCAGCATGATTCAAACACAACCCTGGCCAATCAGCATCTCCTCATAGAGATGAATTGAATCAATAAATCTCTATGAAGAAAGTCCAGTGTCTGCATGCAGAGGGAGGAGACACAGTGCTGCCCTGTGCTCTGCTGACAGCAGATCTGAGTGGATTGAGGAGTTTTATGGAGGTGTTCCTAGCTTTCAATGTAAACACTGTATTTTCTAACAAAATACAGTGTTTACATGAGAAAGGCTGCAGAGAGCTATAGTTCTCACCTGAACAACCTCATTAAGCTGAAGTTGTTCAGGTGACTATAGTGTCCCTTTAATGTTAAAGGCATATCCCAGTTGAAACACTTATATACACTAAGTAAATACATCAGGGCATATGTATGATTCACTTGGTTCCCATGGTAATTCACCTCCTTTTTTAGACTTTACCCCAAAATAGTTTTTTTTAATAAACCTAACTTTATTGACTAGAATGCAGTCTAACAGTGACATGTTCCCTTTATTTAAAGAAAGGTAGAAAGGTCTGTAAATAGTGAACTATCATGTGAATTGTAGGCTTTTGTGATGTATTAGAATGAAAACTAATCTATTAATTCTGTAGATGTATAATAGTCTAAACATAAGACTAATGTTGCATTAAGCTTTAATATAACTAAACGTGATATTACTGCCAGATTTAGCTATTTCGTAAATAATGAAATATTATGCAGTTTTAATAGAGTCTGTTGAATATGATATGCTTATGATTGTGGCTTATTAGTTTGCAATTTACAGCTCATTTTCATTAATGTCCATTATTTTTAATTGAATGTGTTTGAGATTAAGTTAACCTCTGTTAATATTGCGTTATTTCCTTTACCGAATAAGACGTTAACATGAACTTGTCATTATATGAGTTAAACATCACATGAATGGCAGATTTCCATTTACTCAAAATATGATGATTCTCAATTCCTTTCATTGTACCTAATAAGATGTAGTGTAAGACTAATGCCAACATTTTCACACCATGTTAACCTTGAACAGACAAGCACAAATTATACAAATGATCAACAGCAAATTAGTCCAATTCATATGTCAAAACAACAATTTGTGGGTTACGCCTTTTGCAGACAAGATGACATGTAACAAAAGCCATTAGCAAAACTCTATTTTAACGTAACACTTTCCTTGCCAAAATTCAGGGGTTGAGCAATCGATTGCATAGTTAATCATAGATATATCTAGCTCAAGTCGAGCTTTCTTTAGCTAATATAGGCTGTAATGTTTATGCAGTTGCATACATACAATAGCATTATGTTTAAGACTGCTTGCGTGTGCCTTTGTGATTGTGTTTTCATATAATAACGCTCCTGTCTTTGATAGCTTGTCTAATCTTCAGACTTGATTCATTAGATGGTGTAATTAATCAGTGTCTCGAAATGTCATTTCCATGGTTACTGCTAATGAACTGTAATAGGCCTATCAATGATGGCAGATATACATAGAAGGCACCATTGATCAAAGTAGTATAGAACAAAAAGGGTATTGTGTTTTCTGGAGACTAATTAATAATTCTGAATGATAAAATTCTTTGCCCAGTAAAAATAAATTATTACCATCTTCATAAAGATTTCACCTTACTTAACGCAAGATATCAGCGTTTTTGGGATAACAATAAACTTATACCAACACAGTCGTTATTATACATTTTGTTGTAATTTCATAGAATATGAACTTTTTAATTATTATGTGTTTAATTGTATTCTATTAGTAGCAACGATTATTAGTCAATGTGTTTAGAATTCTAGGTCATTACATTAGAAGAACTAAGCAAAAAGCAGCATACTTGCTTTCTAGATCTGAAATAAACTCAGTTTTCACAGTTTTTGAAACATATATTAACACTTCCACAAAGTATATTTTTCTAGATGAACCTCATCATTGTCAGCAACATAGTAGGATTGCTAAACCATAATAATACATTTTTCCCCCAAATATTTTTTTATCTATCTGTCTATCTATCTATCTATCTAGACTTTTTTTAAACTATAAGATATTTCAGGATTCTTTTCAGTAGGGTTACTGAAAAGTGTGTACACAGGCATTTTTACTTTAATTTTACTAATTAAGAAGAGACGAGGAATATATAGGGAAACATATCAAGGCTAGAGTGTGCTACATAAAGTGCTAAATGTGAAACACATGGAGACACTCTATTGGTTCCATTGACATTGGGTCCGCTTTATTAAAGTGAAACAGGTGCTATTCTGGATGTAACACGCTAAGTGAAGAGGGATTCCATTGGTTTCTATTTTGATTGAAAAAGTCCCTCTTTGATTATGTTATTACACTTTGTCCCAGTAGCACTTGTTTTTGCCTTAATACATCTTCCTATGGTTTGGGCCTCTACTAATACATTGGAGTCATATTATTCTGGGCTCCAATTGTTTAAAATCTTAAGGTAGGCCCAATAGCTGGTTTAAGAAAACAGGTTTCACAAAATCCAAAACAAGCATGGTTTCCAAAATGTATTTTTGTTGCACTTATTATTTCATTATTTCATTATTTATTCCAGTAAAGGTACATTTTAGCTTTTTGATTGTCTCCAAAAATGTCCCATAGTTTAGATGTTAATCTATGTCACATGTTTAGATGTTAAATCAACAGCCATACACATTTTCATCTCTAATTCCTTCACATTTCTTGCACTCACTGAGACCTGGCTGTACCTCTCTGATACTGCTACTCCAGCTTTTTTATGTTTTGGGGGACTACAATTTTCCCACACTCCCAGACTCAATTGTAAAGGCGGCGATGTAGGCATCCTTCTCTCCACTCAATGTACCTTTCAACCTATCCTCCCTGCCCCTGCACTATCCTTTACTTCCTTTGACGTTCACACTGTCCGCATGTTTAAGCCCACTACTTTAAGTATTGCCATTATCTATCTCCCCCATCCCCCTCCCCCACGGTCATCCTAGGCTTTTCATTGAACATTTTTCTTCCTGGCTACCCCACTTTCTCTCCTCTAGCACTCCTTCCCTCATACTTGGGGACTTTAACATCCCAATCAACAACCTCAATTGCCCTGATGCCTCCCATCTGCTCTCTGTAACCTCCTCCTTTGGCTTCACACAGTGGTCTACTTCAGCAACTCATACAGCAAGAAATACTCTTGACCTCATCTTCACCAATCTTTGTACCACCTCCAATCTCTCCACTGTTCCATTTCCTTTATCTGACCACCATCTGCTAACCTTTGACATCAGCATACCCCATACCCAAATTTCACCATCCTCAACTCTTTAATCTTGCAGAAACTGCAACTGCCTTGATCCCCAGCATTTCTCCACCAAACTCCAAATTCTCCTTTTACCTATCTCAAATCTCACTTGCCCTAAATCTGCTATGCAAGAACACTTAATAACAAACAGGCGACAGCTTTAGATTCACTCGGGATCCATGTGATTAAACTTAATTGGCCTAATTGAGAAACTCATATTATATATTTTGAAACAAACAATGATATTTTCACACAGGAAAAGTATGTTGATCCAAATTCATACGGAATCCCCAAAAATACATCAGGATAGAATTGTAAAACATTTATTGTAGTCAAAAAAGAAAATACATATGGCAAGATACAAGAACAGCAGTCCTCATATATGCTATATTGGTCGAAGCATGTGAAATTGAGAAAAATGTTGTGAGTGAACAAAGTATAAACAGTCCAAAACATGAGCATGGGACGCGTTTCGCACAAGCATGTTGAGAAAGCACCCAGAGTGGTGCGAAACGTATCCAGGGCTTTTCTTATCTTATCTATCTCCCCTGTACAGCAGTTGTGGATGGTCCCAATCTGAGGTTTTGGACTTTTTATACTTAGTTCACTCACAACTTTTTTTTCATTTTCACATGCTTGGACAGATGTAAACACTAGGTTCATGGTGAAGGGGTTAAACAAAAGTGATTTTTAAACTTCCTATAAAATGACAACAATGATTTCCAATAGCACTAAGCACTTTCAGGTTCGTGATCACAGAAGGAGGGACTAAAAGGAGAGGAGAGGGTTAAGATCAGCAAAATGCAGACAGGGACAGTGACAATGGTGATCAATACAACATCATCCTCCACAGTCAAGGAGTTAAGATTTCTAATAACTAGCTTTAAGTGTGGTTCCCATAACTGTATAGTAATTACATTGCATTGTGGGTTTCTTATCACACCTACATAGGACTTTAGTATGAGAAAAGATCCCTCCTGAGGGTGCAGTTCTTAATCAGGACTATTCGAAA